GCAAATGAAATGTGAGCTCTAAACTCGTTACTTCTTGATTATATATAGCTATAAACAGTATGAACTGTTCCCAATGGTTTAGTGGTTAAAATATTTGGTCTTTTATCAAGAAGTCACAAGTTTAGACACGTGTATGCACAAAATGTTTCAACAAACAATTGTTTTATCCATTAGAGCAAATTATGAAAGAAAGCAAAGAAAGTCCATTGTTGGGATACATTTCAGACACTTGTTAGTTGAATAACATTCATATTTACAAATTATAAAAGGAAAAACCCATAATTAATAATCATCAGTATATTTTCTTTTCATGACAGATTATATTATTATCACCTTTGAATTTATTGTTGTCACTGTGTAGGCTAGGCGCATTGATTATTGACTCTGCTTTAAAATTTACTCTACTTCGTATATACATCCTTGTAGGGATACATATTATTTGATTTACTCATTTCCTTCGGGAGAAATTATCCATTCTGTTATTTTTTTTATAATCTCTAATTGTTTATTATTATTATTATTATTATTATTATTATTATTATTATTATTTTATTTCTGAATTATCAAGTAATATTTCATTGCTTTTATTTTTCTTGATGATTTTCCACAGAGGAATGTTTTGTTTTGTTTTAGTGTTATTATTATTATTGTTTATCCAGAAAATTGCTTATAAATAATAATTTATCTCATTTCACATTTTATCTTCTTTACTGGACGGATTTCAGCTCTTCTTACACATGTACACATATGTACATTTTCATAAACATTTTTTTCATTTTAAAGACAGATTATTGTGATTGCTTTTGTGATTAGTTTGTTGTCTTCTCTCTTGGCTGTAAAATATAATTACAAGTGATTTTAACACAATGTCACTTATTTGTCAAATAGTAGATTTCTGTACTCAGTTTGAACTGCATTGTTTGTGTGTGTATACGTGCATTTAAATAGTAATATTACTCAATTGTCCAAACATAAATAAGTTGAACAGGCCTTTAATTTATAAAGTAAAGACTGAAAACTGTCAATTCAATCGGAAAATAAAATTAGTATCACGTGAAGGTGTCCGAACGAAATTCCATTCATTATAGATATATAATGTAAGACTGTTAGAGAACATATGATACTCTGTTTCTTTAAACATTCCATACTAGAGGCAGCATTAAATGTTTTTTGTACGGCTCTTCTTAGTTTCTGAGATTAAATGCAATCTTCTACAACTATCCCAAGATAAGAACAGCCAACAAAGACAGACTGCCTGAATTCGCCAAATCTATGTGCATCTATCGTTTCAACTGCTCCTGTGGAGCCAGTTATATTGGGCGTACAGTTCGGCAAGTCCGTCATCGCATTACTGAACATCATCCGTCGTGGTTAAACAAAGGACAGGTAAAAGTGATTAAAAGTTCTATTCTTTCTCACTTGGTTGACACAGGTCATCAAGTCGAACTGAATAAAGCTTTTAAGGTTATCTACAATATTCCATCAAATCTACCACATGGTTTACGAGTGCGCCTTTTGCACATTGCGGAAGCCATCGCAATCCATGTTTACAAACCTGACCTTTGCATCCAAAAGAAATTCGTACAACCACTTTCCCTGCCCTGGCCATCAGTTTAAGATTTCCTTCAAAATAACTATTTTTCATACTTCTTCCATTTTTTTTTTATTTTTTATTTCTGTTGCTTTTGAACTTAATAACTTCTCAACATTCATCTCTCGATTCTTACGTAACTACCATCCTATTGACCATCCGTTAAAATTCTGTTCCTTCTTTGTTTCTTATATTACGCAACATAGCAACTTCTTGACTACTTTGAATATTAATAATCCTCTCTCTTCCAATTACTGAATGTTAATTTAAATGTCATTATGTAATTATTACGTAACATATCTACTCGATGAGTATTATATTATTATTGTAAAACGTATATATATTAGTGTAGAGCCATGATGAAAAACTAATTGAAAAGAAATTTCTTCGCTCAATTCGTTCCTTTTTATTTTACGATAACCTACACATATCTCTTTATGTTTTTACCCAATATATCCTCTTCTCTTATAAACACAGAAACATCGTTTCCACTTTACATTCATACTACTAAAGAGAGAACATTGCCAACATGTCTTCTAATGTACTTATTTACCAGCATGTTCATTGATGCTGCTATCAATTTTCATCGATTGAGGTAAACAATACATGTGTTTCGCATGCCTAACCACGGCCTATCATAACGTGCACTGTTAGATGAAACAAGAGTTGGGTTATAATAAAAGCTAAAGTTGGACAAGTCATGGCGTGGTTTCAATCTATGAAGTCAATGACTGTTAGTACAATACTTGTAACAACTGTTCGAAGTAGTTGAGTGAAATGGCATAGTTGCAGTCATTCTTTGTTTTCCCTTACTCTATATATAGACAAGATTCTTTCCAAATGAGGTGCATAAAGGCATAAACTATATTTCTAAACTTGTGCTTCAAAATTTATAAACGCGTCAACGAAATACTCTCAAAAGTGATTTGATAAACTAAATCAAACCATAGATTTTATGCTTAGTCTTGCTTACTCTTAATGCTGCTAATACTTTGATATTTACTTTGGTGATTTGCTATGGCAAGTTGGGCCGATGCACAGATGTGTCAGTTGTTTGTAAATGAAACTTATTAATTTAGAATTTCAATTCTCATGAAGAAAGAAAGCGTTTTGTTCAAAATCTAGTTGTTCATTACTGAAGTCAGATATGGCTAACATGAACGATGAAGATGATCAAGTAGGTTTAACAACCATCGGGTTGATAATAAAACTGAATTGCATCAATGACTATGAATGTTACGTACCGATGTTTAGTATGGCATAAGGGTTTTATTTTTAAATAAGTCATATTATTTGAAACACAGTTTACTGCATATTCTGCTAAATTCAATTAATTTATATGGAATTATGTTTTGTAATCCACATATTATTTATTGTTTTATTTCTTAGATTTTAATATTTATACTTGTAATTGTTGCAAATCATTAGTCATGTATATATTCATATACAAATATTTGAGCTAAATGACATTATTATATATTCAGTTTTTATAACTGTTAATAATAGTAGTGATAGTATATTTCTGAAAATGAACATATATGGCATGCCAGTTAATGGGGATGATCAAGTTAATACTAATTGTTAAGTAATGTGTTGGGCGGTTGTCCCAGTTTGATACCGATATATACGCTTCCTATATGGGAGTACAACCACCTACTTCAGTGAAAAAATGAAGAGCGAGTTGTAAGCTTTTACTAGCTTATCCTAATTGAAATACAAACACAAACTCATTCATAAATATATAACTGTTTCCCCCAGGTACTTAAAACAGATCTCTAAACAATAGGGTGGACCTCGCCAGCATTTATCACACATAATTTGGCCTGATTGACACGTGCTATCAGATAATAATAATTAAGTGTACGTTTTTTGAAAGATCTTGATTTCCGGATATTATGATAGGGCAACAATTAACCCTGATAGTTAGGTACTAATTCTATTAATTGACACGTCCTTAAATTGTCTATTTTTAAAAAATGACCTCTACTCATATGTTTAAGATTTAATATGCAGGGGTGCTATTTTGTCAAAAGAAAAAGCCAATTCTACTGAGTAGGTGTCTTGTCACGTAATATCATTTCATTGGGAGCTCATAACAATAATTCGGTCTCGTAGGTAGCCATCACTCGGCTGCTTGATATGACTGCATACCATCAATTGATTGTCGTTGAATCCATTCATTTTACAATCCAAAAACTCATTCATAGAACCAAAAAGTTTCAAACTAGATACTTAAGACAAAACTGCTAATCATGTGAAATATTAAGTGAATGTTGGATGCATAACCATAAGTGGTATGGTTTCATAGTACAGAATATAAGATTAGTTTAACAAGGATAATGCCGTTATTACTGTTTCAATCGTATAAACATGTCGGCAAAGTGTTGATGCATTATTGTATGTGCTTTACACTACACGGTTCCCATAAAAGGTACATGCTAGAACGTACTGTTTGTTCGTCTACATCTTTTCATAGAGGCCATTGTTGCCGTTGTGACCTGTAGTGAGTTGAGAGGTAGACTAATGGATTCACTTTACTGAAAAAAACTAAGTATGAGCACATCTCTGTAAATCGGTAGTGGAGTCCACCAGGGCTTCTACCACATGTCTAAAAATCTAATGGATTTTTCGGCACCGTCTTAACATAGGAAGTTATCATAAACCTCTGATACTATAAAACGGTTCAACTTTCAATTCATAAAAAAACTGATGTTACGAGAAAATGAGTTCGTCTGTGTGACGTTATATCATTTCAGTTTCGTCACAGCATTTGTGTTTTAATCTACGAACAATGAAAGGAAAGAAAACGGGAGTAGACGATGTAGAATCAAATCATGAATACAATAAATGTGGAATAATTTCATGGATAATATTGACCGCTTTTTTAGTGTGGTGTATGTAGTAGATATCACCTTCGAGTCCCGCGTGTCGTGTGGTGGGTGCACATTACTGGGGAGTCCCATATTAACATGAGACGGCCATCCAGTGCTTTCAGGTTTTCCATTGTGGTTTAACTTCTATTGACTCATGAATTCAACTATTATCCACAAAACTGCTCTCTGATTATATTTATTTATCCAGGTGTGTTGTAAGCACAAAAGCCTAAGTCAGAAGTATAAATGTTACCATTAACCTCAATTTTGTTATATTAGTGAGTATTTAAGGATGTGTCATACATCAAGTTAGTCCAGACAATCTCTCATGATTCTAGAGTTCGAGTTTATTTAATGCCTGAGAATGATTTAGATATTGGTTTGTCTTGCGAGTAAATAGGGTAGCTTAGTGTATTTCATGAACTGGAGATCTGTTAGTTAAAATGTCAATTACGTCATCTAAAAGCACACTTTTTGTCTACGAAGATAGAATAATATGCAAATTAATGCATGTCTTATGTCTATTCTGTTTCTAGGCATTGTGTCTATCAAGTCGTTTATCTAAGTTGTGTTATTTTTGGACATTATATATTGATAATGGATGTTATAACTGTTCTCTATCGATATTCCTGGTTAGAGAATAATCTGTTTCTTGGATCTGGATGTTTATTCCTTAATGGTCTGTTGTATATGTTGTTGTGTTTTAGTGATCCAGGTTAGTTATTGAAACTGCTTGTTATTGGTATTATTTGCTTTGTATTCGACATAGTATTTTTTGTATTACCCTAAGTGCTGTTGTACGACTGAGAGTGACGATAGCTCACCCTTTCTTTCTAGATGCGTTTATACGGTCCCCCATTTATAACCTCTACCCAGTGAATTCACTTAACTCGGTGGTTTTTATTAAACGTATATAGTGAAAGCGAACAATCAGTGTTTACACCAGGTTGATGAATATTAAGAGTGCGAATGAGATAGTTGGCAAACCTTGATTCCAAATCAGTGTGGATATTAGCGTAAGGGAACAAATGGCGGGTGCGAACGTAATCTGATCATCAGCTAACACGCAGCTTTATAGTGTCTAGTTCTATGTCAAGCTCTCATGGGTTATTCTAACTTTTGGACAGACTAATATACTCATTCTTCTTGTCATATTTTGACCTTATAAATTATTCGCTTATTAACCTTAACCGTTTTTATATGATCGTATGTATGTACCACTTACCCCACTCATCAAGTGTCCCTAGCTTATTTTTGGTTGGTTATAAATAGTGGGTCGTGTTTTGTCAAACGGATTTGTTGTGTTTAGATTCTTAGATTTGCTTTGCCGCTTCACTTCACTTTCCCACTTCTCATTCCTTATGTCTGTTTAAATAGACGAGTGCCTGAAATAAATTCATCCGAAGCAACCCGTATTTGTCTTATTACTGCCATCGCACAAATGGGATTAACCTAGGTGTAATATGCGTAGTTAAAGGGAATATTTATATTCATGGCATATTCCTTCGTCCTTTAAATTGGGGTCAGATCAACAGGCCACTAAAACTATACTTCTTGATATTGCTCCTCAACTTTATAGGATAGACATTTAGATTAGACGCTCTTGGAGTAGTTTTTCAAGGAAACTAATCTCCTTAATTTGGACGTCTAAGTAGTGTTTCGGCCATCACATAAGTAATAGTGATATGTTGTAATACTATTTAGTGCTCATTTTAAGTATTGTCTGACTTAAGTTAGTCTAAACCTCTTAAAATTAACACAACAAAAGTTCAGGTGAATAAACAAGTATTTTTGTCATTATTTCGACTCATAACTAGATCACTTCGTAGCTCGGTTTATAAATCCTACTGCTACACAATAATTAAGAGAATTTTGTCTTACTATTAATGAATCACTGTTAGCGGTACATGAATTGAATTAAAACATGGTCACTGCAGGATTGTGTCGCAGAACGCTGATTGGCTCACTCTTAGCTAATTATTACTAGCAGATGAATAGAGAAGGTTTTAGAATCTTGTATACAATTATAAATATATTAATATTTTTCTTACTGTGATTCAACTTGATTTACTTTGGAATAAAATTACATATCTGTCCATGCTGTGTTCTGTTTTGGGGACTAGTCAAATGAGGTTGTGTCAGAAGAATGCTAAACAATAAGGATATCTAGGGTCTGTTAGCAAACGACTTAACAATGACCCATTTATTAATTTACTGATTGTCACTTTTTTCTGTTGACGAGAAACAATATAACTAATTAGTGAATCTAAACAAAGTTGACACTTAGGACTACATGGGAAAATACCTTCAAACAACAATTTAGTACATAAATACATGTTAAAGACTATAGTAAGTAATTCATCAAAAAAATAACTCCATAAACTTCCTCGTTTCTGTTCGAACTGTTATGAAAAGTTCATGGAAGCATTGCTTTGGTAAATTATCTTTAGATATTCCAACCTTTTTTAGGTAATTATTTCCTTTTATTTTTCCGAAGTAGTGATTTCAAGGTTAATGACTTCTTGTTGTTCTCATTTGAAGCGATGTGAAAATCAGTTCCCAAAATTTAAATAGTTTAGAAGATCAAATCTGAGAATATGAACGTATTTTGAGATTAGACCATAGATGGATGTTTTTTTCAATGCTTAAACTATTCAAAGTCATTAAACTAGTAAATTGCACTCTCATTTTTCGATTTCAAACGTAGAAATATTTAATGGCATATTTGGGAATGTGATCAGATCTTCACTTATACAAGACAGTTCGATTGAATCGAATGCAAATCTAGGAAAGCGGTTTAAATGCAACTGTATTCTAAGTTTTCTCTTCATCGTTTAAGTGAGATTCTACTTTAGTAAACAATTAACTCTCTCATTTGTATTTGGCACATTTTATTATACTTTTCTCAAATTAGATTTCGTACAACGATGCTTAAATTTAAAGCGAGTTACTCACGAAGTAGGAATTTATTAACTCGGTTTTAAACCACACTTTTTGTGAGAAGCTGTTCAAACCCAAGTTAAATGATAAGGTGGGTCGGGGTTTGAATCTGCAATCCAGTGGTTAAAAGCTGTATTCTTTAGGCTATTGACAAATATTATAATATGACATAAAAAGCAGTAAAAATGTTCTTAAATTAGTTACAAATCAGTGACCGATTTCTTTCCAGTTCGAAATTCTCCAACTGCATGTTTAATCTGATGGTTCTTCACGGAAACTAAGCCCGAAATTTCAAGTTCTTGCCGAAAAACAAGGAACAAATTTAATGATTTATTTAAATTTCAAGAAAATAAAAAAGAAGCGGGTATTTAATTAGGCAGGTACTGCCTTATATATTTTTTTAGCTAGTTTAGTTCTTAAACGGATTATTGTATAGTATAGTTATACTTTCGCTTCAGTTAATAGAATTTATTGTACTATGAATTATTTTCGTTCTCCTATTTATCGTAGGTTTTATAACATCACGAAATAAATCAGTTTATGCACATATTTATGAATATGATAATTTTATTTATTCACCTAAACAATGCACAATATGCTGTCATATAATTCCAGCTAGATCTAAACATTGCTGTAAGTGTTGTTGCTTCTATTCATTTCTTACTTGCTTATCCTTCATTTTCAAGTAAGTTTTTCAAATTACCTGGTTATTTTAACCACTTGAAAATAAGAACCGTGTTAGCTTAAAGAGATGATTCTATGAATATTTTTTTTATTTGTTGTTAAATGGTTGTATACAATCAATAGAAAGATTCTAGGATCCTTGTTCCCTTCCGATCAAAATTCACGGAACCGTTTATGTCCTTCTAAACTTACTTCTTACTAAGTCACTTCTGAGCACATTAAACTTGTTTATTGAAATTAGGTCACTTACTTTAATGTCGGTTACCACACTAAGTGGTTGAATTGTGCATGTTTGTCACGTGTCATCAAGTGCACATGTATTATTTTAATTTTGATATGTGTCTATTAACCCGTGTTTATGTGTTATGCTACTGATGATTTTTGTTTACAGTTAAACTTTGAAGTCAGACATTGTATCATGCAATGCAACCTATAAAGAACTATACTTCGGAATACTGAAGTATGAAAGTTAATTTATAAAATCTTGTTCTCCAACGTAACAAAATTAACAGCCAACTGGTATATTTGATGAATATCACAGTAGTTTTCTTAGATAGTTGCTTTGAAAGCATTATAGACAATGGGATTTATTGTTTCACTATTATTGTTTTAGTAGTAAGTAAGTGGTTTGCTTCGTTTTAACACACTGATATTCCATGTTGATTTATGCCTCCACCTTGTTAAGGTTATTTTTGGACCTCCACCATTTCATGTAGTTTAATATGAGTAAACTTATTTTGAGTAAATCTCTCATATTTTATCCAAATAAATTTGATGATAATGATCATTTTCTAACTCAAAGGAGTTAACTTGTAAAATAAGGCACTGTGCTTTGATGCAGGAGCCATTAAGTAGCGTGCTAAGCAGTACTTTAGGTACTTAGGGATTTCCAGATTGTGATTGTTAGTGATATTTTGTTTTTTCTTAAATATATTTCAGATTTCTGTATTTGTTTTTGTCAAAACACATCGTATCGTTTTCTTTTTTTCAGCTCGATGTGACCGTTGCGTATTTCGATTTGATCATCACTGTGTTTGGACAAATTGTTGTATTGGTGGTCAAAATCATGGGCTTTTCATAACATTTTTATTCTCTTTATGTTTTATGATTGCCAATGCATTGTGGTTAAATTGTCGTATGCTTTATTTATTCTCTGTTGTAGGTTAATATTTTATCATAATCTCTATAGATTATTCAAATCATATTCCATTGACACATAGTATTACTCAACCTTTCAAGTAATTACACAAACTATAGTGATAACGTTACTTCACGATCCATTAATCTTGTCCCTCTCAAAATACTCAAAAGATACTTTTCCGATTTCAGTTTCTATTGTTCGAAGCATTCCTGCAAGTCCTCAGTAATCAGAATTTTTAATTAATAAGTTATTCTAAACAATTTTAGCAAACTCTCTTCGAGTGCAACACAGTAAATCGTCTTTGCGGTTTTCGAATTGTTCATCAAAAAGCGAACATAGGTGTAAGATAACTTAATCGTTATGAATTTGTCCTGTTTATAATTCTTTCCCAGTTTACGTAATGATAGCCCCTTTTAGTTGATCGGTTTATAAGAAGGCCAGGTAGTTCGATATGTCTTGAACTGGTCGTGAAAGCTCCCATCTTTAATTACGATAATTGGGCACTACGTCTACTGAAAAAGATAAATCTCCTAAGGTAGATTTATTTGGTGGAAATCAAAGAAGATTATTTTATGTGAATATCACGTGTGTTTAAGTACGTACGTGTTGGACGACCATGGAAATGGCATACAAGTAACACATTAAAAGAGGTAGTGACCATAAAATTATTGACCTCCTGAAACTCACTAAAAGTGGGGATAGGTGTCGTAAAGTTCAGCTCAGAAAAAATAAAAAATTCAAACTTACAAAGTAGAAACAACAAAACGATTAGTTATTGCTTTACTGAAGGTAAAACATCGTTGACATTATTACGTACATATTCACGTACTGCTTATTACAGCTGAAATGATAATTTGGTACATATTTCAAGACATGGTCCGCTATGGCAGCCCTTGAGCAGTGTTACTTTGTTTGGAACTGTCTAGTATCCTGTTGACCATCGTCTATTGAAAACCAATGTGAACCTCTTATTAAAAGCACAGTGATTTATGATAATAATAATTCACTGATAATATCCAGTTTCTAATAAATGTTGCACATTGTTAACGGGATGTACGTGTGTGAATTAATACTCTTATTATTCAAAAAAGGAAATATGTTAGGATTCACAAGTTTAAATACATTAATCAATGTTAAGCTAAAATATTGTAAGAAATATTTTATATTACCGGTCTACTAAAATTGGTAAAGAAATACTGTTGAACAGTTGTTTCTGTCTCTGGGAGGTTGCACCCATTTCCCTATTCATAGTCAAACCCTGGATTACATGGTCTAGTGGTCAGCATACTAACTTTAGTTCACAACTGAAGTCTATTTACATCAATACTTGGCTATTATCAAATCCCATTTTAGAGGTTTGACTCCTAGCATAAACGAATTTCACGGCTCGTGGTTTATCACTGATATTTTGAGTTACAAAATATGATGAAACAGCTATACGCCGTACTTCTTTGTGTTTATTGTTTGTTTATCAGTCTAAACTTGAGCTATCTTAATCTTAAATAATCTCCACAAACCTCTCTTTTTATTTCATCTTCTGTTTGCGTTAATTATTGCACTATTCACTCATCTATTTCTGTTTTTCAGCATGAAAATTTATGGCAAGCTCATTACTTAGATGAATATGACCAAATGCACCCAATGGATTGGTTAACATTATTACAAGTATGATAATATTTTTAGCAGTAGTAGTATGGTAAAGCGGATATATATATGCATGATAAATATATTTGACTTAATGTTTTGTTTTTTTAATCAAAAGGCGTGACCTAGTTTTCATACTAGTTGGTATTCGTCAACTAAGTGTATCTGCAGTGTTTACGGGAGTTATACCTCCCTTGATACTTGAATCTTTGTCACAGTGTAACAGCTAAACATTTTGTCATTGATCTTTTTGGTTTGAGTCACATAAAGATCCCAGTGTTTTTAGATTGAAAGTAAAGCTTGGTCAAGAACGTTAATTGTCGTATAGCTGATGATTAAAGTTAATCATAGCGAAAAGAAAGTGTGAAATTCCTAAATATTCTATAATGAATATAAAGGGTAAATACATCTTCGCTATCGCTATTGATTTTGAGCTATTGTTTCCAATGATAAATTACAAAGACCTCGCTAACCGAAATCAGGAATATCCTGTTTGAATCTACTATTATGCACACTGCTATTGAACTTTGAGAGTTAAAAGATAAAGAATTTATGAAGCATATGTCATAGATATGATTCAAAATTCCTTCAACTGATTCACCAGTTATAACTGATTGCCTATATTTAGTTTTGACATAACTCGCCTATGAGTAATGTTTCAATTACATTTGATTCGTCAATAATGACTTACACACATCTATATATAAAAAGCATATACATAAACTGATATTTATCATCTAACTATCAATAACGGTTATTATTACATGTTAATTTATTTTTATTATAATCATCGTTATTATTTCCTCTTTGATGTTTTTTTTTCAGCACTTGTTCATGACATTTCCTCGTGTTATAGGGTTGACTGGCATATTAATTGTAGTTGTAATGTTATTAATTAATTATTTAACATTTCATATTTGGCTTATTCTGATCAACTGTACATCATATGAATATTTTCAAGGGAAGAAGCTGATTACTAGTGAAAATTGCTCAATTAACTATGATAATGATGACAAGGAGAAGAATAAAAAGATAATAAACAAAAAGCGTCATTTCCTTTCTACTTCATTATTTGACAGCAAGATGGTGATGATGATGACGGAAAGGACAATGATGCCTTCTACCGTAAACCGACAATTAAAGTCGAATCATAGATTAAGTGGACAAAATCCAACCACTACATGTCATAATTATCGAAATTTCTACAATAAAGGTATTAGAAATAATTTATTGGAAATGTTTACACAAAGTACATCATATTCATTACGGGAGTTGAAACATCGTTTACCTGTACAGTTGACATTTAAAACTCGTTAAATTTCTCCCTTTAAACTGATAGATGTTTTTTTTTACAAAAGCCGTTGATCTTTAATTTATTTTTAGTGTAACTGTATTTTCTCAATTCTGTTTGATTGAAGTCAGTGTTATTCATGTTGCCTAACTAATGGTAACAATGTTTCCTAGAAACATGAACTGATGAATGGTTGATATCCTTATCGCTAACTGGAGTCATTGAATGTTTAGCGACTGATGGGCATCACTTATTTGCACATCCTAATGTCAGTTGTATTATGTTATTTGATAATCATGTCTTATAAGTTTAAATGATATTAATATAAGTAAATAGCTTAAATGCAATACTTCTGTACGTAATGTGAGTGAATGCACTGTCGTTTTTTCAAATCAATGTTCTTACTCTTTGCAGTTTTATGAAGGTATCTCTGTGTATGAAATTATAGGTTTTATTGAATGCGGTTTTACGAGAGTAAATAAAATAATCATGTAGTCTCATATACATATTGTTGACATAGTTTGTCGGTATTAATTAATTTCAATGAATGTAAATATATCAGTGGGATAATTCCTGAATAATAATTGATATTCCCCATAAAGTAGGTAGCAAAAATACATCTGAAGCGCCAGAGTAGTTCTCATTTCAATATTTGTGAAATCTAATAAATATGAAATTTACGAATTTTTTAGTTTAAGTTGATTTCAACTGAACCTTCGTATACATACTACGAATACTGTGCAAATTAAGTTTTGAGATAACTAGAGAAATAAATTGAACAAAAATGTAAAACATCTTATGGGCAGTAACCCTAGAAGAGCTATAGGCGGAGTTACGTTTTTAATTAGTAAAATATAATTGGGTATTTTTTCATTTCAACAAAATATAACAGCGTATTTAGATTTAAGGACCTTTTTGATGTGACATCTATGTACCAGATAGTTTTTCATTGTAATGTTCAGCCAGAACAATATCACAATTTGTGAGCAAAATTGAAGATTTCTGAGAATATTCATTGCGATGTCAAGGATGACCAAATATTTTTCTTAATAGTTATTATTATATTGTAAGAGGTTTGAAGTACATCACTGTAACACAGCTCTTGGAATGGGTAATCTACTCCTCATTTTAAACGAAACACATATCATGTTTGAAATCGTAATAAGATAATGAGGATGTCAGTTTTTATCATAAAATTTTATCAATCGTTACTACTGGGATTATGTTACTAGTTATAATGTCTTTTTATTCAATAAAAATAATAGTAAAATACTGAAAAATCGATAATTATGCACAAAATAAGTGTCTAGTATTTTGTGGAATTTAAAGAGTTTCTCTCTAGGTGACAGTCTGCCATAGAAGTTATCTTCTGATTATGAGCGGATTAGTTCTTAATGTATTTCCTAAAGTTTTGATACAAGTATTTTTTTATTGGATTTTTATACACTCATAGAAGTAATTGCGAAAACATGTCAGTTAATTACACTGATTGTTATTCATTTTTTCTAGCTGACCAAATAGTTCGGAAATTTTTATAGTTTGTTACAATCTAGTGCTGTCATGATCAAAAATTCGGTAGGGTAAACCAATTTATTGTGAAATGTAAGAACATTACACTTAACACACCATTTGTACATCTTCGTTTAATTGTCGCTTGCAAGCTACATCGTCTTTTCATTCCTGTTGCTGCTTTTTTGTTTTACACATATTCCCCTTTTGTCAGTAACATTCCTACTTCCAACTTTTGAAACATACTTCTTGTATCTGTCCGCATAAGTAGCACGCAACACGGCACTATACCTGTTACTCAGATGCAGGTAGCCTTTTCATTAAACGTCTGTGGTAAACGTATACTTATTATTCATGATTTATTAGAGGAATTTTAGTATCATAAATTAGAGCAGGGACGTTTTCATAAAATGACGGTATCATTTATAGTAATGGTTACTGAATAACTTTAAAACTACAAAATACACAAGGCAATTAAATAATCAGTTAACGGTTAAATTCCCTTAATATGGTCATATGTGTATAGCTGAACAGGAAGATCGACCAGTTATTCATAGGGAATATAGGACCTGAGTGAAATATACATCTGAGATAGTTGTCGTACCGTATCAGCACATCAAGATGTATAACAAATGAGACGAAGTGTTAGCTGTCCCAAAGATGGTACAAATGATTATTCGTTAAGAAATATAGAAAAGAATGAGTAATTTATAGAATAATTAGTATGAGGTAATGTTGAGACCGAAAACATCTATGAAGCTGATGTTTCTTAAATTCTTCTCATTCTAGTTTACATTTCTTAAATCGACCGTCAGCGACATAATTTCTTCGTACCACATCTAATTTTTCTCACCCTTAACTTTCGCGTAAACGTATATATATATCATCCGTCAATGATTGTTAATATGTGCAATAATTGGGATGTACGTAAACCATTCATCGACAAGGTAGTTACAATATTGGTTGTTTCTTTGTGGAACCTAGCTGTTGTTTTTGAGGGTTATTTGATATATGAACTAAAATAATAGACAGACTTAGGTTATTATAAGTACAAATGCAATATCGTCTACAAAGTAAATTGTAACAATAATTATATACGTTACATTAGAAAAGGTGAATAATTCTTTTGTCTATTTATAAAGAAATTTAAACTAGGTATAAAACGATATAAGATTTTTCCACTTATATCAATGACCATAATCAACAAATGCAAGCTTCATCAGAAAATTGTCGACATTCTGAGTCTAGGAAATTTGGAAAATGTCATTGAACTACTAGAAATATGGATTTCCCTTTAGTCAGTAGGTTTTTCGACGTAGACTATATTTATCAGTTTATGCAGAAAACGTCAACTAGTCACTTTGTCATATGTCAACCAGATAAAAAATGAATTAAACCAAAAAAGCTTTAGAAAATAAGCCATTCAAAGGAAAGGTGGATTTGGTTCTTGCAGAATAATTAGGCCATTTCTAAGTGAATTAAGTGCTGATGATGTCCAGAGAGACAAACAAAGTTTCGCGACTAAACCTTTAAGTCAAATTATTAACTGAAATCAATCGGAGACATAAAAACACATTCTGGTTTGAATTGTAAGATGAATTATAAATAAGTAATATATTTGTAATATCCCAATGAGTAGAAAAATTAGATTTTCTTGCGTTTCGTGACTTAGTGTAAGCCACTTCTTCAGAGAATTTTCTAAATTTTTCCGTAAAACTATTCATTTTAAACAACAATTAAGTGCTTAGTAATTATGATATTTTTAAGGTTCAATTCTAGCTGAAAGTATACCAGTAATTTACTAATGATATCATAATTACTACAGAGAACAAAATTCCAAAGTTCACTCTCTTGAATAGAGTAATGGGTACACTTTTAATAATTTATAAATCAGTATTCTCTAAGTTTCAGATGTTCTTTAGCTAAAATCAGTTTATTATATCAACTGTCTTCGATTAGATTTTAAATAATAATATTTTCTATAAGCCAAGAATATTGGTTATTATTGATTATGGGTAATTGTCTGTAGAGTAAAATGCCGAGTATATGAATTATAGGTGTTCGGAATGGTTGAATTTTAATTATTCGTTTTCAGTTTAAAACTTTGTTTGACTAAATAAATAGTATAATTAGAACTAATATGTAAACAGAGTGATCGAATATATTAGTTTGTACTTACTAGACAAGTAAAAATTCATATTTTACTTTATTGATTTCTAATCTACTGTATAGTTTATTGTATATTAGAAGATAATCTAAATAATATATTCTATTGTTCACTTTAGTATACTTTGAGTACACAAAGTGGTAATGTTTATTAAAATTCGGATTCAAAATTTACTAAATGACTTTATTTAATTCATACATTATTTCTTTTAAATGTTCTTGAATATGCCTTATCATTATTGTAAAAACGGTAGAAGCGTGAAACCAGTTTAATCACTTGTAAAAATGTTGAAAGTTTGGGTATGAATCTTGATAGTTCATGACTACATTCATTATACTTCAAATAAACATTTTCAAATAATTAATGATAAACATCTTGAGTTATTCGTATTATAATTTCGCTTGATTTTAAATGATAACTTAAAATTTTTGAAACATGAAGGTCTATAAAATAAGGAAATTGTTGGGTCGACTTTTGGAGAACTTCAACGAAGCCTCCAGAGGCCCAAAAGGAGCCGAACAGACCTAGCCAATCAGAGTATGATGGAACGTTCTAGAATTCCAACGTGGCGTGCTACTATTGGTCGGTAGCATAGTATGTCGTTATCGGATTGGCTGTAAAATGATGTTGATTTAACACGCCAACATCTATTAATACCCCTGATTTTCTGTACAAAAATGAACCTTGGGATAAAGTATTTTCTCTTATACTTATGTCTTCTCTCTGGTGTTCAAGTCGCTGTGTAGTTTTAGACTGCGGGTCACCGGAATAGCTTAGGAACAAGTATAGCGTTCAATTGACAATACTTATCAGTGGCGACGGGGATGAAAACTACAATGAATATTTCCTTGGAGCAATTAGAAGCCTATATGGTCAAGAAAGGAGGTCTGAAGAGTCTCAAATTAGAATCATGGAAACCCTGATGCAGAAATTCTGCCTATCCCAGCAAAACCCTGCTTCTAGTGAATCTCAAGTATCACATACTGATTCAGTCATTAACGCCATCCATGAATTTAATTTTGATGGTGTAGCAGGTGTAACTTTCGAGTCGTGGTTTAAGAAGTATGAAGATTTGTTTTATATTGATCTTTGCAAACTGGATGATGCTTCAAAAGTCAGAATGCTTCTTAGAAAACTTGGGACTATGGAACATGAACGCTATAGCAACTTCATTTCTCCGAAGAATCCACTAGATTTCAGTTTTGATGATTTAGTCAAAACCCTGTCCCAAATCTTCGGAGAATAATCATCTCTATTTAATATCCGTTATCAATGCTTGAAAATAACGAAAGAATCAAGAGATGACTGGGTGAAGCATGCTACTACTACTTACTACTACTTACGCCTGTTACTCCCAGTGGAGCATAGGCCGCCTACCTGTATTCTCCAACCCACTCTGTCCTGGGCCTTCTTTTCCAATTCCATCCAATTCTTGTTCATCTTCTTCATGTCTATTTCCGTTTCTCGGCGTAATGTGTTCTTTGGTCTTCCTCTTGTCCTTTGTCCTTGAGGATTCCATGTGAGGGCTTGTCTTGTGATGCAGTTGTGTGCTTTCCTCAATGTGTTTCCTATCCACTTCCAGCGCTTCGTGATCCAGTCGATCACCAGGAGAAAGAGAAAGGGTGAGAGTAAGCAACCTTGCCTGACACCGGTCTTTACTTCGAACGAGTTTGTCAACTGTCCTCCATGCACAGTTTTGCAGTTTAATCCATCATAGGAATTCCGTATGATATTGACTATCTTCTCAGGTACGCCGTAGTGTCGAAGAAGCTTCCATAGTGTTGTTCTGTCCACGCTGTCAAATGCTTTTTCGTAGTCAATGAAGTTGATGTAGAGTGATGAGTTCCATTCAATTGATTGTTCCACAATGATCCATAGTGTTGCGATTTGGTCTGTACACGGTCTATCCTTACGGAATACTGCCTGTTGGTCACGAAGTTGGGCGTCTACGCAGTCCTTCATCCTGTTTAACAATACTCTGTTGAAGACTTTTCCCGGTATTGAAAGAAGAGTGATGCCCCTGTAGTTATCACAGTTGCTGAAATCGCCTTTCTTCGGTATTTTGATCAGAAGTTGTTATGACCTTAAATGTCTGGTTTTGCTATCACACGAATTATCTACCAATCCGAATACGACTTATACGAATCTTCACACTAGGCCAACCAATGACGTTCAACCGGTGTGGGTAGTTTAGCGTCCTTATTGGTCCTATGTCCTCTGAGCCCTTCCACTTGAGTCCAGAACACAATACCAGCTTCCGTAATATGAATCGAATCAGAGCAGATCGTTTATTTTAGACATACTCGGTTTATATATCAATCAGACAGAGCACAACGTACCATAAATTAGAAAATAACATGTGTACACAAATAAGCCAAAAAGTGGCTGTGAACGAGGGGGACAGTTATTAATAGACTGAGCATAGCTTAAGAATCGTAAATCGTACAATAATAAATTATAGGTCAAAATAAAGCTTATAATAAGAGAAATATAATTATATATAATCTAATTCTATAGTTTTACAATAAGAATATTTATAGAATATTATTCCATTAGTAGTCCTCGGGAGTTACCTGTAATTTAATTCACTGGGTTATAACAGAAGT